ATATGGCAGAACTATAACTCTTGCTTATATTTACTCTACTGTATTAATGAAGTTGGTTGAGGATAACTTCTGAGCTAGAGCCATAGCTTAGGTTGGAAGGGTTGGTCCTATTTAAATCCAAAATACATAACTTCATTTTGATTTATAATTAATGCTGTGAATTTAAAAGTTTGTTTTAACAAAATTGACATGTTATGTGTTAGACAAATTGGTTGCAAATGCTATTTCTAAAGTTTTTTTTTTTTTCAATTAAAACAATTTTTATAGTTATATATATTAAAAAGTTGGACTTAGGTTATAAATTATAAGTGAATTTTCAAAACTCTTTGGTTCTAAGAGACCGTCTTGAGAGACAGGAATTGCTGTTTTTTTTTTTAGCAGTCTTTCATGGGAGACTACTGTATTTATTCAAAAAGCACCCTGCACATTTGATTCCAAAAGAAGTGTCTAAAAGTGTCCTATAATGTTGATAGGACTTATTGGTTTGGAGAAAGTGTGTTAAGACTACTCACCTCCAGTTTGTTATGGATATAATTCATAATATAGGCTGCTGGGTAGGATTCCACAACTACGATGTGAGTTGCGTTTTTAATTCTATTTTCAAGCCACTTTGAACTGTCAACAAATACTTGTAAGGCCTCTTCTGGATTAGGGTATAGAATGGCTCCAGTGGCTCCGTTATCTTCCAAAAACTTGCCAAAATTTTGGACCACCTTCAGGTAGGCTTTGTGCCCAGGGGAAAAATAGTAAATGATCAGCACCTCCACATTAGAATTCGCTGCCACACACATTTTTTTGCTTATCCCTAGTATATGTGGTACAAGCCATGCTAATTATGGTGGGTAGAAATAGGCGACTATTTTACTGTAAGTACACCACATATCTACACATTTCAAAAGCAGTTCAACTTTGCATTTACAAATGTGCCAGAGCCTCGTTTGGTTATTTGCACTCGCTGGTGGGGTTGGACTTTTGCAAGAATCGGGGGCTATTGAAGCATTTTTTTTTTTAAATCAGAAAAAAGTGCCGAATGCGGGAATCGAACCCGGGTCATAGCAGTCGAAAACCAACAGTTTAGACCATCCTTCCACCGACCCCCACACACATGGTACCTATTAAAATGAGTTTATTTTTGAGATGCAAAAAGTTATTTTTTAAAATTGCACAAGGTGCAAATAAGTAGATTATATTTAATGTATTGGTAACAGTTGACAAGGCACAATTTGGATTATAGATTATAAACACAAGGTAATAAGACCTAATCCAAATAAATAAATAGTGTATGACGTTTCGGTAACAATGCTGTTACTGAAACGTCACACACTATTTATTTATTTGGATTTGGTCTTATTACCTTGTGTTTATTGGTAACAGTGTTTTTAGTGAAATATCAGGTTAAATTTAACAATTTAGATTTGATTTTCAAGGTAATAGGATCCAATATTGGATTTGATCTTATTATCTTAAGTTTTCATCTATAATCAAAATTGTGCCTTATCATAGATTTGATCTTTGTGATACTTCTCTATAATTCTCAAATTGTACATTATGGTCTTCTTCTTTCTTATTTCCACTCAATCATATTAGGGTATCAAGCTTGTAATGCTTGAGACTTTTGATGGTGTGTGCTGGGGATGAGTAGAGCTCATGAATGGATGGTACATTATGGTAAATCTAAAGAGACAAAGGTCGCCTCTCCCGTTAAAATAGACGTCAAAACTAGACGCCATCTATTGACCGTCGCTGCAACTAGCGGCCTCTGGTCGGTGACATAGCCACAACACCAGCTTTGGCAAACTGAAAAGCATCCACCTAGAGACCATGGTTTCGGGCTAATGGCCCTCGTCAGTCTAGGGTGGACTTTATTCCATGAGATCCACACGGGATCTAATGGAATCTTGACAATCTGCCAAAGAGGTGCTTAGCTGGCAAAGTGGCTGGGCCGAATCTATGGCTATAATATAGATGGAAATTTTGCCGGGAGGATATTGATCTAAAGAGACAAATTATATTTTGACGGGAGAGGCGACCTTTGTCTCTTAGATCAATATCCTCCCGGCAAAATTTCCATCTATATTATGGTAAATATTTAAAATAAAAAGAGGTGTTTACAAAATAAAATAAAAAGTTACAAGATATTGTACACACATTTAAAAAAAAAAATATTTTGTCCAATGGAACTAGAAGGATGTTTTCATAGTCCCCCCTCTGTCCCACTCAGTAATTTGATTGCAAAAAATGAAAAGTTGAGATTTAAGGAGTAATTTAAATAGCATTTTTTAAAAACATTTCCCACATCTTGTCGTGAGAAATTTGTCTTCTTTTTTTTTTTGCTTATCCCTAGTACACGTGGTACAGGTCATGATAATCATGGTGGGTAGTTAGCGACTGCTTTTACTGTAAGCGCACCACATGTCTACACATGTGAAAAGCAGTTCGACTTTGCACTTACAAATGTGCCAGAACCCCATTTGGTTGCTTGCATGCTCTGGTGGGGTTGGACTTTTGCAAGAATCAGGGGCCAATTGGAGCATTTTTTTTTAAATAAGAAAAAAGTTCCCAATGCAGGAATCGAACCCTGGTCATAGCAGTCGAAAACCAACGGTTTCGACCATCCTTCCACCAACCTCCCTTCATTTTTTTATTAGCCAATTTCAATATTTTTTGCCTTACATTTTAAAAATTAAGTTCATAGTTGTTAAATTTCCTAAACAACGCAGGGGGGACAGTACAAACTGTCAATAACCATTTTGTAGTTGTGATTTTTAATCCAAATTGTACCTCACAACAGAATTGGAAAAGAATGATTTTTTTTTGCTTATCCCTAGTACATGTGGTACAGGCCATGGTAATCATGGTGGGTAGAAATAGGCGAGTGCTTTTACTGTAAGTGCACCACATGTTTACACATGTGAAAAGCAGTTCGACTTTGCACTTACAAATATGCCATAGCCCTGTTTGGTTACTTGCATTCGCTGGTGGGGTTGGACCAGAATGAATTTAAAGAAGTACAGTAATACTCCTCTATAGCGAACCCCAATGGGACTGAACCTGTGTTTCACTATAGACAGGGTTCATTGTATTATAAATAAAAATGGGAATTATTTCAGGTTAATTATAAGGGAAAGTTTGATATATCCCCGGTTCAATTTAGCAAGGTTTTTATACTGTATTTATTTTTTATTACTTTTACAAATAAATATTTTGAATCAATGCTATAATGCTAATTATTTTCCCAATGCAATATTGGGGTCACAGAGAGATTTTTTAGAGGAATGAATTTAAACCACATTGAACTAAACAAGTGTAGTAGGCTCAAAACTCAGGAGCATTAATACTCCCCCCACAAACAAGCTCTTATTCTTTCTTATCTCCATCATATTAGGGTACTAGGTGAAGAAGAATGCCTTTGTCATTAAAACTGGGAGCACTACTCAGTGGCAGGCCGACTTAGCTCCAAAATAAATGGCCGCCTCTGCCATGAGGAACAGATGCCATGTGCAGCCACTCCTAACATGAAGTACAGACACTGCTCATTCTGTATCCCTGGATCAGGAGCCCTTACAGGGTACTATCAGCCGGGCCAGCTGTGCCCAGGTATTTTAGCGAGCTTTGTTACTGATCCCCCCCCCCCCCCATTTCTTTTTCATTCGGGCTTGGGACCAGCAAAGAAAGAATTAAGTTTTTACTGGAGAAGGCAAGCATGCTTCTTCTTTCTTATCTCCACTCAATCATATTAGGATGTCATCAAGTGTGTAGAGCTTTAAATTTTTGATGATGTTTGCTGGGGATGAGTAGAGCTCATTAAAAGAGATTTGTCACCCATAATGAGATTAAGTGAAGTAGAATGTGTCTACTTTTGTCATTAAAACTGGGAGCACTACTGAGTAGTAGGCTGACTTAGCTCCAATGTGAAATGGCCGCCTCTGACATGAGGAACAGACACCATGTACAGCTACACATAACATGGAGTACAAACGCTGCTCATCCTGTATCCTTGGATCAGGAGCCCTTACAGGGTACTATCAGCCAGGCCAGCTGAGCCCAGGTATTTTAGTAAGCTTGTTACTGCTCCTACTTCTCCTTTTCCAACAAGCTATGCTAGGCAAGCCTGCTAAATGGAAGAAAGAAAAATTTCAGAAGAGAGACTTCCATGAGAGACCGCCTAAAAACCCTGTCTTTCCTAGAGAATATGTCATGTAAGGTCAAGAGTCCTTCAACCAAAACAGTCTGAGAGACCATGTCCAGGAGAGAGCTCACAGTTTTAGGGTGATCTCTCATGTGGGAGCCTCTACTGTAATGTAAACTGATCCAAATAAATAACTTTATGATAGCATACATTATATAGACCTTGTTGGGGCATTATTGTCCAATCTATATATATAAAGATGCAATATTGGCCACTTGAATTGATTTTGATTAGATTTTTTATTAAGACTTGATACAGATTTAAGTCTTATTGAAACCAAAAAAAAAAGGTCCTTGGTTCAGATTTTTTTGAGTTATATTTACAAAGAATTATATTCACTGAATTAACTTGAATTAAATCACTGTAGTAAAACAACAGATCCTTATTATGAATAAATTGTTTTTCCTGGATGTGTGAATGTAGGTATTAAAATATACGGTAGAACCTCCATGAGAGGACACCTCTCTATAAAGGACAGTTTTCATTTGCAAAATTATCATTTTTACCTTTTTGCAATTCTCCAGTAAGAGGACACCTCTCTCTAAAGGACACTTTGGTTCTGCAATTAGGTGTCTTTTACAGGGAGGTTCTACTGTATATATTTTATATAATACAATATAATTGAAATTATAGAGATTTAGGATAAATATTGATTTTTAGGAATTTATAAATTACAGGATCCAACAGATGATAAGACACAATTTGGATTATAGACTAGAAATACAAAGTAATAAGACCAAATCCAAATAGTATGTGACATTTTGGTAACAGCAGTGTTACCATTTTCAGACAAAAGATCTAAATGAAAAGATGCCGAAACCCGGGTTCAAACCAGGGACCTTTAGATCTTCAGTCTAACACTTTCCACACTGAGCTATTTCTTCTTAAAAATCCTGTTGGGGGAAGTAGTCCGACCACACTAGTCCCCCCTGGACCCTTGGAATATTTTACCAAATTCTGGTCCAAGGTGACTAACATGGCAACAGCACCCATTTTCCAATGAAGAGCAAAACATTGCAACTGCTGTGATAGAGATGCACAGGGACATCTGAGGCTCTTAATTGGACACAACAACTGAAACGTCACACACTATATATTTTTGGATTTGGTCTTATAACCTTGTAAGATCTAACAGATGTTTTAGATTTCTAGAGTTCACAGAGAGGCATACACTACTCGAGTAGGGAGCAAATTGGGCTGAGCCTTATATAGAATTTACCTTCAGCCTGGTCCCTCAAAGGCAACAAACTGGAGGTAGAACTTTCTGTAACACACATTGACATAAATTTCTGAGATAAGCACTATATGGTGTAGAGATAAGAATTACAAAGTAACAAAACAAATTTGTATAGGATGTTTCTGCAACAATGTTGTCATTCCTCCCCCCTATCTTCAGACTAAAGAACTTCAGGAGAATATTTTCACAGCATGTCTTCAATACCTGAAAAACTGATATTAGTTAAAAAAAAAAAAAAAAAAAAACTAAGATGATGTTAACAATGCTGTTGACAAAATATCACATTAATTATCTGGTCTTGAGATTTGTGTGAGGCCAAAATTGTTTCTTTAATATCCAAAAAGTTGCCCATTTTTATTTTCTGTATTATTTATGTACAATTATGATTGATTCCTCAAAGCTAATTTTGGTCTTGTAATTATCTTTTTTTTTTTACAGTTCACAAGGTAATAAGACCAAATTCAAATAAATAAGTAGTGTGTCTACTCCATATTATTTATTTATTTGGATTTTGTCTTATTACCTTGTGTTGATAATGTATAATATAAATTGTGCCTTATCATTTTACAGTTCAGTTAAATATTCCCAAGTTATGGAACCCACAATAAAAGATACAATATTATTAGAATGGCATTGTGATATGCTGTTGAACTAAACGTGAGCTGCTTCTTGCTGAGGAATCTTGCTTACACAAAGAAGAACATCTCCTGAACCTTGAAGGTAATCAATAGATGAAATCTCTAACTTTAGGAGGGTTGGCATAGATCTTCCATACCTCTTCTTTCTTATCTCCACTTACTCATATTAAGGAATCAAGCTTGTAAAGCTTGACAACCATCATGACTGGGTGAAGTAGAATGCGTCTGCCTTTATCATTAAGACTGGGAGCACTACTCAGTGGCAGGCCGACTTAGCTCCAAAAGAAATGGCCGCCTCTGACATGAGGAACAGACACCATGTGCAGCCACTCCTAACATGGAGTACAAACGCTGCTCATCCTGTATCCCTGGATTAGGAGCCCTTACAGGGTACTATCAACTGGGCCAGCTGAGCCCAGGTTTTTTAGTGAGCTTGTTACTGCTCCCCCCCTCCTCCTATTATATAGAATTATATATATATTTTTGGATTTGGTCTTATAACCTTGTAAGATCTAACAGATGTTTTAGATTTCTAGAGTTCACAGAGAGGCATACACTACTCGAGTAGGGAGCAAATTGGGCTGAGCCTTATATAGAATTTACCTTCAGCCTGGTCCCTCAAAGGCAAAAAACTGGAGGTAGAACTTTCTGTAACACACATTGACATAAATTTCTGAGATAAGCACTATATGGTGTAGAGATAAGAATTACAAAGTAACAAAACAAATTTGTATAGGATGTTTCTGCAACAATGTTGTCATTCCTCCCCCCTATCTTCAGACTAAAGAACTTCAGGAGAATATTTTCACAGCATGTCTTCAATACCTGAAAAACTGATATTAGTTGAAAAAAAAAAAAGGCAAAGGCGGAGTTCCTATATGCAGTAAGTAGCAAGGGTGATTTTCACACAAAAATAACAGTATAGAAAGGTGATAAATAAGGTTAATATCCTCCCAAAAGTATTCTCTACATATCAGCATGGCTACCATGAGAGGAAAGTGATTCTTCTCAAGACCTGCCTGAGAAGGGATTAATGTCCAATGTCCATACTTTATTGCCCCTGAGTTTGTGGAGAACAAGAGCTTTGAAAAACTTTCTCCCAATGGAGACTATAAGTTGAGATTCCTCAAGTTGAACTCCTGAATTCAGGGGTGTGAATATGTTAAAAACGTCGTATTAAGTATGAAAATATAATTTCTACTATTCATGTAAATTAGGCAAACTTTCTTCCATTTGTAGGGTAGAAATTTTCTTGTTTGTATTGACTACTGGGCCTAAATTAGTGAATGGCTTGTGCAGTATCTGAAATAATAAAACAGTGATTTTCTTAAAAGTTGTTTTTTTATTAATTGCTAAGACATTCGATTCGCCGCTAGGTGGCCGGACAATAAACAGCACGTGCAGCACCGCTCCGGTAAATATAGTTATATTACTAATATTTCAGTGTATATTTGCCTTATACTATGAAAGGGATAATACGGTTACTCCTAATACTTGTGGTATGCAACACTAAATATGTAAATTTACTCAAGGTAACGCACTATGCAAAAATCTCAGTACGAAGGGATAATGATGGACAATGTGGTCAAAATATAAACTTACCATCTGGGAATATATCTGGTAACCAAAAAAGACTGCTATGTATAATTCTGGCTCTATTATTTATCTCAGGCATTGAACAAAACCCAGGCCCCCCAACCAAAAGGCAAACTACATTGACTGCGCCAATACACTCAGGAGAGAGAGAATCAATAGATGGCGAGCTAAAAATGCTAATTTTAAACATGGCGGCGGAAATAAAGGGTCTAGGAGAGAGAATTGACATCAGACTTACCAAAATAGAGACTCGAATGGACGATTGGAATATGCGATTCTGCAATATGGAGGAGAAGCTAACTAAATGTATAGAGTCTCAAAAGGCTACCGAAAAATTGGCTTCATGTAATTCGTTAAAGGTAAATGAACTGGAGGCTAGAGTCGAATTTTTTGAGACGAGACTGCGTGAGCCCAATCTAGTGTTCTATGGTATTGAGAGAGAGGGTGGCGAAAACCAGGCAGATTGTAACTTAAAGATTCAAAACGTAATTAGAGATAAAATGGAAATCGGAGATGATTTAAAAATAACAAAATGTCACCGACTTTCACGCGGATCCAATGCACCAGTTCTTGTTGTGGTGCCTGATTATGCTGATAGAGCAAAAATATTTAAAAATGCCTACAAACTCAGAGATACTAAAATTTCGATAAGTAAAGATTATAATAAAAATGTTAGAGAGCAACGGCGCATCCTAATTGCAAAAAGGAAAGAATTGGGTGAAAGGGGAATAAAATCGAAGTTGAGAGATAACAAGCTTTTTGTAAATGATAAAGTCTGTAAAGTGATGAACGGCCAAGTTGTTGATAGCACAGGAGCTGCTATATAGCAACAACCTCGTAGAAACAATTGTGTAAATAGAAGAAATACGACATCAAAATCACAAATTAATCCTCCACCCAACAATCAAATAACGGAAAGTTACTTCGACACAAATACATGTAAATTCGATTTTCAAGACGCTGACAATGCAATTTTTTCTGAAAATTCGCGAGACATAGATTAGACAATTCAGAAAAGGATGGCACTTGGTTATCTATTTTCTTATCAACGAACACAAGAGCCCTCCAACATGTTATCTGTTTGATATTTGTATACCTTCCTCCAAACCAAATACAGCTGCATAACTTAGATAAACTGTCTACATATATTCAAAAGCAAATAGCAGATGGAATTTTTTTAGAGAAAACCACACCAAGATGCTCTGCAGTGAGGACCCGATTTGTGCCTCCTGTAATTCAAAACTAAAAAATGAAATCACTCACTATATTTTTGATTGCTATGCTCTGAAAGAAGAACCCTTATGCTCAAAACTGGGCAACTTTGTGCTTCACTTCCATCAATAATTGACAATATGACCCAGAATAAGTACATTGCTACGGCGTTTTATGGTTTCCACAAGTCCATATCTCAGAAGAAGGCCAAGTGACACTCACTCCTCACTTTCTTACTGCTACTCTTTTTGTGTTGTTTTTCTTGCTTCCCTCTTTCTCTTTCTTATTTTTTTTTTTCCCTTTTCTTCTGTATATATTGCTATTTCCTTTGTCTCACTGCTTTGTTCTTATGCATACCTCTGGTGAATCCTGTATAGGGTCAGTGACCCTGAATAAAGGCTTTTTTTTTGTTGTTGTTGTTGTTGCTAAGACATTCCTCCAACAATTTTCATAGACATTGAGGGCCCATACCCACATCCTAAAGGTTGATATTTTTCAAGCTATTAGCCAACTCATTTTCTTGATACAACCATATTTCAGGCTTTCTTCTATTTCCCAAACACATGCAACATTATTTAAATTGTGAAGAAAGCTTTAAAACAATGATAACATAAGCAAAACATATTTGTTCACTCACCAATATTAACATACTCTTCATTTCTTATTTCGTTTACTGCAGACAAAAAACAACAGCTAGGATTAGCAATTGAGATAAAAACTCTAAAAATGTATTTATTTAGGTTCTTTTATTTATTTAAATTTAGGTTCTTAACATAGTTTAAATATAGAAAAATAAAAGGGAGATTGAAGAGGAGTATCTTGTGCAAATTTTATTAGCAAGCTTTCGGACGTCCTTCTACAGGCTTTTTACGCTATAATTTATTAATTCAAAATGGTTTGGTCACTCCAACTTATATAAACAATACTTCTCATGCATCACGCGAACAATGGGCTTAGAAGGAGTTTGAATTCCTAGAGGAAGATAGGCGAAGAGCCTCATCGAAATATTGGAAATATCTTTAAATAAATTATATTGATCCAAGATATGTTTTTTATTTAATATATAACTACAGTTAAACATGTCTATAGTGCCCCCTCTTGGGACTCACCAAAATAGGGTGCTATAGACAGGTCACTTTTAATGTAAATTGCATTGTTAATATGTATTTAAAATCGGGTGCTATAGACGGAGGCGCTATAG